ACGGTCTACTCCGGAATATGGACTGCACATAGGGCCGAAGGTGCCTTTGTGTTAGACCACCGCATCAGGTAAAGAAGAATGCCCTTAGCTTGAGAATATTGATAGGCAATCTGGACTTTGACGACATCCTCTCTTGGACTGTTTCTGTCCCTAAAACTCCTCACCAGCCTGACAGGCTGGCATCCTTTGTGAGAATCATTCAGGTTAACAGGAGAAAGGACTTTTCCAGCCACCAGGTCAGTGATATCCTGGTGATGGGAAACAGGTGCATGGACTTGTCCAGAGACTGAGGGAGCTTTTTCAACCCAGGCAGTACATTAAAGTTGAAAAGGCTGGAGTGAAACTGGTCAATCTTCCTGCAGAAGAAGGGAGGAGGCAGGGACTGAAATTCCAATTTGCATTTCTGGACACTATGTCCCAAATCCAAAATGCCCCTTCATTACAAGGAGGATGTAACGAGTGGAGGCTGTAGAGGCAGGGACAAAAGGAACTCTTCAGAATTCCAGAAGAGGCCAATTTTGCTGTGGGTATCTTCGCTTTCTCCTGACTAGGTAAGAATGTGCTCTTTCTGTGCTACTTCCTAATAAAAGGTGATTAAGCAAAGAGTTTCTACATCAAGCAGAATAATTTCCAGACGTTTCTTACAAATGTCTCCACAGACTAATTCTACAGCCAGAGAATCCTCCACATCTGAATTCACAGAACAGCTAGCTGAGAATTTTGGGCAGGGAGTCCACCAAGTTGTGTACGCATTAGCACAAGGCTACTGGGAGAAGCTCTAATTTTTGGAGTACTGACAAGATTCATTGAGATAGATCTCCAAGCAAGAAACACTTTAAGGAGGGTCTCCAACCTCTTGTCCAATGGGTCTTTATAGACTGGGACATCCTCAGGGGTTTGTTGAGCTAACAATAGGCATATCTACCACTGGAACTTTCTACTCTTTATGGCAAGCCGCCTCAATTGGATAGTGCTGAACAAACCTCTTGAGCAGAGTACACTTTTTGTCCAGCTGCTGTCAGTCTTCATACAGAACATCCGGTATGAGTAGGTGAACTAGAGAGGACCTAGTTTCCTGGATTTGGGAAGAGACCACATACTAGTGACCTTATGTCCAGAATGTGGGGGCAACTCTATGTTCAAACAGGAGCATGCCTCATTCACCAGAACATTAAGGGCAATTCCCCATCTTACTGGGAGAGGTTCTTAGACTGCAAGGATTCGCCTTCCACTTCCTCATCTCCCTTCCCCCTCCATCAGGAAGCAAAGTTGCCGCGATGGACAACATGAACGACAACTGAGCAGAGGATGCTGACTGGAAGTGCTTATGCTTGCGCCTGATGATGGCCATGAGGGGATCCCCTGAGGGGGTGCTGAGGAGAAAAAGCGGTGCAGCCATTTTGTGCATCACAACTGAGGGCCGTTGGATATTCTGGTGAAGGCCAATGCATGGGCCACCAAACGGTGACCCTTTGCATACAAGAAGGAGCATGGTATCCAGGGACAACAACCAAGAGTTAAGGGGGTGGGGGACACTTGGCAAGAGAAAGTTTAAGAAAGGAGAGGGGGACCCCACAGAGGAAGAGGCCAGAGTCCAAGACTCACCACTTCAGGGCACTGGCTCTTTAATAGGGGAGAACACACCAGGTGGGGACTCCCTACTTTGCCCAAGCTTACTCAGTGCAACTTATAAACATCCATGTAAAAGATATAACACCAACATGTCAGGAAAAAAAAAAAAAAAAAAAAAAAACAGAAGTTGGAAAAAGGATCACCCTCCTCCTAAAAATTACTTGTAAAAACTTAATCAGGTGTAGCTAATCACCTTCACAATGGCACACAAAGCCATTTGACTTACCACTATGATCAGCACATATGATCAGATCATAACATCCAAGTGAAAGATATAGCATCAACATCACTGAAAAAAATAAAAAACATAATAAAACGGAGGTGGAGAAAGAATCACCCTCTTGTGTCAGTATTTTGTTGAAACACCTTTTGCTTTAATTCCAACCTTTAGTCTGTTGGGATAGGTCTCTGCTAACATTGCACATCTAGACTTTGCAATATTTGCCCACTTTTCTTTACCGAACTGCTCAAGTTCAGTTAAATTTGATGGTAACCATTTGTGGACTGCAGTCTTGAAGTCATTCCACAGATTTTCAACGGGCTTTAGTCTGGGCTCTGACTAGGCCATTCACCTTCTTCTCCTTCAACCACTGTGGGGGTCATTTTTGTTGAGAGCTTGGAGTCATTGTGCTGTTTGAAGGTAAACCTTCTTCCTATTGACAACTTTCTGGAAGAGGGCAGCAGATTTTCCTCAAGAATTAGACGGTATTTTACCTAATCCATTTTCCCTTCTATCCTGACAAGTTCTCTAGTCCCTGCTGCAGAGAAACCCCCCATAACAGGATATTACCACCTCAGTGCTTTACTGTAGGAATGGTGTTATTTGGATGGTAAGCGGTTATAGATTTCCACAAGATATATTGCTTAGTGTTGAGGCCAAATAATTCAACTTTAGTCTTATCTGACCAGAACACCTTTTTCCATGTGGGCTCAGAATCTTCAAGATGTATTTCGGCAAAGCTCAGTTGTGACTGCATGTGTCTTTTCTTGAAACCCTTCCATACAAGCCACATTTGTAGAGAATTGGTAATATTGTTGTCACATGCACACAATATGACCACTCAGTCAAATTCCTGCAACTGTTTCAGAGTTGCTGTAGGCCTCTTGGTAGCCTCTCTGACTAGTTTCCTCTTGGCTCTTTCGTCCAGTTTGGAGCAACGTCTTGATCCCGGGAGGATCTGTGATGTACCAAATACTTTCCATTTCTTAATAATCGACTTCACTGCGCTTCTAGGCATTGATAAAGCCTTTGACATATTTTTTGGTATTCATCTCTTGACTTCTGCCTGTCCACAACTTTATCCCAGAAATCTTTTGACAGTGCCTTGCCACCTACAGTTGATCGTTTGCTTCAGTGGCTCGATCATGTACTGAAATGCTCCAGGAAAGCTCTTTTCGCGCTGCGCTAACCAAAATGACCAAAGTTGATCATAGTTGAAAGTCAAATGGCTGTGTGTGCCAATGTGAAGGTGATTAGCAATACCTGCTTAAGTTTCCAGGTCATTTTTAGGAGGGGGGTTGATCCTTTTTCCAACTTTCGTTGTGAATATTTTTTTTCCGACATGTTGGCATTATATCTTTCACTTGGATGTTATGAGTGAATACAGCTGGATTAAATGAAAAATGTGTTTCTTCACTTCAGACTGCAAAGCAACAAAGTGTGATTGTTTTAAGAAGGGGGGGGTGATTCTTTTCTATACTCACTGTATATAGCGTTCGATAAGACTTTTCATTGAACAAATGTGCAAATATAGTAAAAATAATATCCGAAGTGTTCATATCATGAAAGATTACAGCACAACTATGTTCTACCACTTCACACAAAAACAAGTGCTGCCATAACTAACCTTTCAACAGTGGGGTGACACAGAGGTTTTTCTTCCTGAGGTAAGAGGTAAGTTATGCCGACAGCGGTAACCACACGAAGGCTAAATGGACACACCTAATAATGTAATAAAATAGTTACTGAAGGTCATAATGAGAATGAAAGAGCACAAGAGGGAGTTAGCAAGGGGCGTGGCCTCAATATGTTACACGGACCCTGACATACAGCAAGGTCCATTTTAAAGCAACTCCAGGTACTGCCCTGGATGACTAAAGTCAAATAATATTTATGTTATACATACCTGCTCTGTGCAATGCTATTGCACAGAGAGACCCCGAACCTCCTTTTGGGGTTCCTCGCTGGTGCTGTCCTCTCCCCCATAGCAAAACACTTGCTATGGAGGCAGGCATGCAGGCTCGATCCTGAGCTGGGCTGTGTGCATCTATAGATGCACACACAGTGTGTCTCAGCCCTGCCCTCCACCTCCCTACTCAGTGTATTTGACTGACAATGGCTCTTGCTGCTGCTTCAGTCCCTGTGAGTAGAGGGAGAGGGGGAGAAAAAGGGATGCATCTGTTCACAGCGTTGGATTGATTAAAGACTCGGGTAAGTATTTATAGAGGTGGGAGTGCACAGGAAGTTGTAAAACATTTTACGTTATAGCAGGGAAAGCAGTAAGGCAATATGTTTAGTTTAGTTTGAATTACTTTAAATAAAATCAGCCTATGAAAACCATACAAAAAAAAAAAAAAAATACAGAAGAGAGAAGGCAACGGGGAGTTGCACTCACCTGAACACACACTGAAGGCCGTAAGGAGTACTGCATTTTCTCCAAGATCTCTTTCTGCAGGACATCCCATGTAACATTCCTCTCCAGATACAAAACAAATGGCTGCCCAAATCTAAAAAAAAAAACACATTGGTAGCAATATAATCAATCAGCGACATCATTTCAAGTAGACCAGTTTGCTTTTTCAGAGATGGTTGGACACTGGCAAGCTTAATTTTCCATTCACATTTATTATTGGTGACTGCAGCTGCAAGATCTACCTGTCACATGATGTAACTTACAGCATGTTAGAAAGCGATCCAAAACGAAATTAAATGCCAGGGACCAAACTGAAATTGCTATCTGCACTTTAAGCCAGCTTCCCCTGTGCCACCAGTCAAAGTCAGTCATGGACTGGTAACTCTGACACAATGCTCATAAGTGGGAAAGAGTATAATGTTCAGAGACGCATTTCTGTTGCCAAGCTGCTTACTCGATCCACCAAAAAGACATACAAGAGAAAAAAAAAAAAAAACACAGAAAAAAAAAAAAGGGCAAAGATCACTTAGTGAAAGCATTAAACCTCTACCCACTGGGTCTTGGCACTTTTAACTTAAAGGAACTCGGTCATGACATAAATAAAGAGGGGACTGCCAACTTATAGAAGTTTGTGTGTTTGCATAAAGATACTTTTTTTGTGCACGTTTATATTGCTCCTTCAACAGTAACCGATGAAAGCTTATTTAGTAACAAAATAACCTGCCCAGATGCTCACCTCTTGCCATGTTGTCCACTATATGCTCTGTTACAGACCAGGATAACTATTCGGTCAGTAATGCCAAACCTGTTCACAGGAAGCCTTGTTGAGCCAGACGAATAATGGGGAGACCGATTATGGTCAATCCCATTCCTCACATAATTCTGGTTATTGTTCACACAGATTCCTGTAACATTTAGAAAAAAATTAGGGCCAAAAGCAATGTTTGACGACACACGTACAGTCCATGACCATATGACTCATTTAATAAAGCAGTTCAGAGGAATATAGTGATGTGTCAAGGACAGGAACCTATTAAAGTCAGTAAAGATTAAAACAGTCTAACCAAAATGGTAATGGTGACATGAATGTATAGCAAATCGGCAGGTGGCATCTCTACAAGTTGGGTTAACTTTGCAGCAAGTGCAAAGCAAAGCATTTCATCCGCAGCTTGCAAACACCCCCGTCTGCTGCCTATTGCACCTGAAAAGGGGGCTGATGGCAGAAATGCAGCTCAAAAGGCATATTTTGCCACCCTTCCCCCTTAATCTTAAATCTAAACAAGGCTTAAGGCCTCGTTCACACAGGAAATACTACAGTGAGGCTTTGTTTAGCTGCACAGGAATGCACAGGTTTTCTGTGCATCCCCATTCAGGCAGCCCTGTCAATGTCAATTGGGACCACAGTGGATGCACGGGAATGCACAGGTGTTCCATGCATTCTTGTGCAGACAGTCCCATTCATGTCAATTTGGAGACAGCAGCTGTATGGACACAGCCACTGCTCCCAACTTAATATCCGTGTGGGGGTGCAAGTCCTTGAATTCACACGGTCTGAGTTTTGGGCCATGCACCTACACCCACACGGATGTTAGGTCTGTTCTTGCATCCCAACCGACATGAATGGAACTGCCTGAACAGGAATGCACAGAACACCTGTGTATACTACTCGTGTGTAAACATGGCCCTTCATAGGCATACGCTGTAGTACACCCCATGTGAGGTCTTAGTAGGATTTAGCAGAAACCTTGTAAGTTAGATTGTGTTTATGTGCGCTATTAAGGATTTTAGTGGTTCTTTTTAGTTAAAATAGCGATTTAATAAACATTTGCGATGCACAATACTGTGAGGCCTAAACAATCAGTAGCATCTTCTTTTTATTCTACTGGTCATGAGCTTTCAGAAAATATATGGTTTGGGGGGGGGGGGGGGGGTCTTTTACAAACTCTGAAAGCTGTGAAAAAAAAAATTAAAACCTCCAGATTTTTAGAGATAATCGGTTATTTACAGTTTTGCGTATTTTTTTTTTGCAATTTTCACCAATTCGTAACAAGGTGCAATTTACACATATTTGTTATTTAAATAGCTCAACACAGGTTCAACCTTTATATTTAGTAGGAATTTAGCAGGAATTTTGAAAAATGTGCGGTGTTTGTATCTGCTAAGAGAATGATTTTAGTGTATTTTTAGCGAAAGTATTGTTTTGAGAAACATTTGCGCAAATATCATGGGGCCCTAAAAATCAATAATAGCACCTTCTTTTTATTCTACTGGTCATGTGCTTTAAAAAAATATATGGTGGTTGGGGGGGGGGGGGGGGGGGGGGGGGTCTTTTACAAACTCTGAAAACTAAGTGAAAAATAAAATAGCAATAGAGAAATTGCAAAAAGGGTCTGAGTCATCCGAGTTTAAAAAAAAACAGGGGCGCAGGGGATTGAAGCGAAAAGGTCAAAAGGGAAACCTAAAGAACAAATTATACAAATAAAATACATATATACAAGAAAAAATTCTATATCCTCTAAGAAACTTTTACTTGTATTACTTTTACAAAAGGTAGGAAATCGATGCTGAGAAATTACAGTGCAAACCTATCATGAGGAAAAGAGAAGTTAGTTTTTCCTGCTTATTATTATAGCATCTTACACTTTTTTCCCCTCAATCTTTATGGTTGTGCCATTAGGTCTTGTGACATTAGCCTCTATTCAGTTTATTCAGTTGTATTTCACTTGCAAAAATGAGAAATGTCTCCCTTTCCCAACTTTTGCACACAGTGCACATGTGCTGCAATGATCAAAAGATTAGTAATTTCTGTAAGCCCGTAGTTATGGTTTTGTGGAAGCACAGATATTCTGTAAAAGCATTTCTGGGTCTATGATCTGCCCAGCTCTATAATGCCCAGCTCCGCTCTCCTGTCTTACTGCAGACTCCATGAATCAGGTCAGAGGAATATAGACTCAGTGTGGCTGCATTTTCAACATCATTAGCAGATGTTCTATTAGGAGTGTGGTGGAATTTTTTTGCAGTTTTGTCAACAAGTGGAAACTGCGGGTTTCACTACAACGTGAAATTGAAACCTTTACCTGAAATTAACACACACACTCTTCATATTTTACCTACTTGCTGTTTCTTGTGCAGATTATTGTATTTCTTATCAAGATTTATAAACGCTCCCTCTAGAGGGTATCTGTACGTCAAAATACAGCTCGACAGGATATTAGCTGTTTTTTTTTCCTCTTTTTGGGGAAGGGGGCTATGTATCCATATTGTTAGACCATTTATAGAGATAGTAATCTTACTATCTTTGTAAAAGGTCATACTGTATATCTTAGTGACCCTTTTTTTTAAAGTTTACCCACTGCCAAACCCTTTCGGTTTTTTTTTTTTTCCCTTTGGCTTTTATTTTTACTTTTTTTGTGAGGCGATGGCTTGCAGGATTGTGGTCAGTGTATATGGGGTCACCTAGTTTTCTGACTTATGCATGGTGAGGGGGGGGGGGTTGTGTATGTTAAAGTGGATCACTGGAGTGGAGTATTGTTGGAGCGGAGTATTGTAAGGAGAGAACAAACATTTTATTTTCTCAGATTTAAATATGCTCTGGTCTGGGCTTTCTAAAGTATTAGGTGGGATAAAGATTTCAGTCCTAGGCCCACATCTTACCTGTAAACTAGTCCTCATTAACAGTTAAAGCTGTGCACAATATGTGAGCTGACTGATGAAGGTCTCTCCCTCTCTTGCACTCTCTGCTGTATGAAAAGGCTAACTCCCAAAGGAAAAAAAAAAAAACACAAAAAAAAAACCCAGAGCTACCTGTGTGGTTTGGGTAACCCATTACAGGGCACCCGGTTTCTCAGGAATTTACATTAGTTTAGTTAATGGCTCAGGTGAGCAGATGTTTTGTTGCTGTACAAAGCCCTCCTGTATTAAATGTGTTTGTTACTGCATTACTGTAAGGATCCCTCTAAAACCGTAATCAATGCAAATATACTATATACTATCAATGGCATAAATAATATTCCAACGAGCCTGATATATTGTTTTCTTCCTGGCCCCTAGGCTATTCCAGTTCTCTGCAACTATTAGTGTGAAAGTTACCTCTCTGGCCTAGAATTCCTTCAGATGGGAATATTTCTGGAGTTTCAAAGGCAAATATGCAGTCGCTTTCATGGATTGTATCCAAATCATCTGTGTCAGAGAAGGAGCGATGGAATCCATCAAAATACATTTCAGTTATTACTATCTGGAGTGAGAGGAAAAAAAAAAAAAAAAAAAAAAAAGCACAGGCAAAGATGAAAGAAAAGATACTGGAATGACATACCAATAAGATGACAAGTCCCGCTAAGGTCACAGAAAAATTGTTACGCTGATATATATATATTTTTTTATTTCAACCATGTACCACCATCATAACGGTTGTCATGCCAAAGTGTCCTTGGTTTTACTAACATTTCACAATTTAAAGCATGGCTGCTACACATTCTTTCATCCTTGTCAGATATAAAAAGTGGCATGCAACACAATAATGAAACAAAAACGAATGTAAGGATTCATGCATAAAAATGTGACAAATCTCTAACTATGGAGAAGATATACAGAGAGTGTATCTATATATTGGATATAAAGTCTACACGCTCCTGTTAAAATGTCAGGTTTCTGTGATGTAAAAAAATTAGACAAAGATAAATAATTTCAAAACTTTTTCCACGTTTACTGTAACCTACACACTGTACAACTCAGTTGAACAACTGAAATCTTTTAGGTGGAGAGATTAAAAATAAACTAAAATAATATGTTTGCATAAGTGTGCACACTCTTAACTAGTAGCCGACCGCAGATAGCTGAATGACGGCTGCACTGCGGCCGGCCAGTTCTGAGTGGACGTCATATGACGTCCCCCCAGAACGCGCTCTCCTGTGCGCCCCAGGGGGCGCGCACACCGGCGATCTCCGTGATCGCTGTGTCCTACGGACACAGCTGATCACGTGATGTGGTAAAAGGCCAATCACATCGGCCTTTTACCACGTGATCAGCGGTGTCCAATGACACGCTGATCAGAGGGAAATGCAAGTGCCGGTTCTCGGCTGCACTTTCCTCATGCTGTCAGATCGTGAGGAAAGTACTGCCGAGAACCGGCAGTTGTCAGAGCGGGGATCGGCACCGATCATCAGGGCACTGATGATCAGTGCCCTGATGATCGGTGCCCAGCAGTGCCACCCGCAAGTTCCGCCCACCTGTGCCCAGCAGTGCGCCCACTAACTCCGCCCACCTGTGCCCAGCAGATCACCCACCTGTGCCCACCTGTGCCACTCTGCAGTGTCACACCTGTGCCCAGAAGTGACATTTACCTGCGCCCAGCAGTGCCACCCACCTGTGCCCACCAGTGTCACCCACCTGTGCCCACCCACCTGTGCTGCCCACCAGTGTCACCCACCAGTGTCACACCCACCAGTGCCACCCACCAGTGCCCAGCGGTTGTGCCAGTCAGTGCCGCCAGTCAGTGCCCAGCAGTGATGCCAGTCAGTGCCGTCTATCAGTACCCATCATCAGTGTCACCTATCAGTGCTGCATATTAGTGCCGCCTATCCGTGACACCTCATTAGTACTGCCTATCAGTGCCCTTTAGTGCTGCCTATCAGTGCCCATCAGTGCCGCCTATCAGTGCCCATCAGTGCTGCCTCATCAACGCACATCAGTGAAGGAGAAAAATTACCTGTTTGAAAAATTTTATAATAGAAAGAAACTTTTTTTTTTTTTCAAATTTTTTGCACCTTTTTTATTTATAGCGCAAAAAGTAAAGCGCCCAGTGGCGATTAAATACCACCAAAAGAAAGCTCTATTTGTGAGAAAAAAAAATGATCAAAATTTCATATGGGTACAATGTTGCATGACCGCGCAATTGTCAAAGTGCGGCAGCGCTGAAAGCTGAATATTGGCCTGGTAAATAAGGGGTATAAGTGCCTGGTAGGCAAGTGGTTAAATACTTTTTTGAAGCACCTTTTGATTTGATTCCAGCACTCAGTTTTTTTTTGGGAACAAGTCTATCAGCATGGCACATCTTGACTTGGCAATATTCGCCCACCCTTCCTTACAAAAACACTCCAAATCTGTCAGATTGCGAGGGCATCTCCTGTGCACAGCGCTCTTCAGATCACCCCACAGATTTTTGAACAGAATCAGGTCTGGGCCATTCCAAAACTTTTCTTCTGGTAAAGCCATTCTTTTCTTGACTTGGATTTATGCTTTGGGTCGTTGTCATGCTGAAAGATTAAGTTTCTCTTCATGTTCAGCTTTCTTGCAGAAGGCTGAAGGTTTTGTGCCAATATTGACTGGTATTTGGAACTGTTCCTAACTGCCCCAGTTCCAGCTGAAAAAAACAAAAACACAAAAAAACCACACAACACCCCAAAGCATGATGCTGCCACCACCATGCTTCACTGTAGGTATGGTGTTCTTTTGGTGATGGGCAGCGTTGTTTTGGTGCCAAATATATCTTTTGGAATTATGGCCAAAAAGTTCAACCTTGGTTTCATCAGACCGTAACACGTTTTCCCACATGCTTTTGGGAGACTTCAAATGTGTTTTTGCACAATTTAGCCGGGCTTGGATGTTTTTCTTCGCAAGACAATGCTTCCATCTTTACACACTACCCCCTAGCCCAAACATATGAAGAATACGGGAGATTGTTGTCACATGTACCACACAGCCAGTACTTGCCAGATATTTCTGCAGCTCCTTTAATGTTGCTGTAGGCCTCTTGGCAGCCTCCCAGACCAGTTTTCGTCTTGTCTTTTCATCAATTTGGAGGGACGTCCAGTTCTTGGTAATGTCACTGTTGCGGCATATTTTCTACACTTGATGATTGAACACAGCTACTGTGTTCTCTTGGCCACAGTTACGTTTTGGATATAATCATCCAGACCAGGACCGAATAGCTGTTCCCCTGAATAAGGTTAGCGGTTGCCTTTTCTTTTTTTTTTTTTTTTTTTTTTTTTTTTAATACAAGGTAGCGCACCTGACCAACAATAAAATAAAAAAAAACGGCACATGCGCCGACAGGACGTCCAGCCTAAATAGTTGTTGAATGCAGCTTGGGGAAAATTCTCCTGGTATCAACCCAACTTCTTGGGTCTCTGTCTCTCGACATCTGCTGAGCCCAGATCTTAAAGTGGTTCTAAATGCAAAAAGGTTATTCATTTCAATGCAATTTATGCATTAAGGCAGGGGTCTCCAAACTTTCTAAACAAAGGGCCAGTTTACTGTCCTTCAGACTTTAGAAGGGCCAGATTGTGGCCAGTAGGAGTAGAAAAATGTCCTGGTGTTGGTAACAATGCCCCATCATTGGTGCCTGTGGGAGAAATAGTACCCTATTGGTGACAGTGGGAGGAATAGTACCCCATTATTGGTGACAGTGGGAGGAATAGTGCCCCACTGTTGGTGTCAGTGGGAGGAATTATACCCCATTTTGGTGTCAATGGGAGGAATAGTGACCCAAGGGCCAGATAAAAGGCAAGCAAAGGGCCGCAGTTTGGAGACCACTGCATTAAGGTAATACAAAAACAAAACAAAAAAAACCTGAAACTTTGCTTGGCTGGGAGGGGTTGCGCCTGTTCCTGTCGTTTTCTGCTATTGTGCAATCATCTGAAGGTAGCAGCATAACCCCATCATATTAGATGTAAATATACCTTGTGTCCTGGAAAAACAATTTAAGAATTAGTGGTTACCTGGTCCGTTGGTATCTTGGTCTCCATTGATATGGCTTCCCGTAGTCGAACCACATTTCCAGACAGAGGTACAGCAACGCCAATGCGCATACAATGCGAGCATTTCCCCTGATAGACCACGGTCACATAAAGAGGCCTACCAAGTAAAACACAATGTCCATGAGAGAAAACCACCAATCATATTTGAAAAATCACAACATGGAAATTAAATGCAACATACATTGGTCACTGTTGCTGAACTATGTTATTTCACCTAACATTTATGAAGCCATTGAAATTAATTTAATCAAAAGCATACCAAGTAAACCTTAAACATCTTGTGGACTACGTAACGTGACAAGGAAATAGGATTTTAACTCACAGGCACTGCATATATAGGTGCTGAGAGTGTGCTTACTGTGCCCTCTCAGCACACTGACTGAGCTGTGAACCAGCAGAACAGGCTCTTGATTTTGTGACTGATGTAAAAGCCAAACAGAGTGGCCACATGATACATAAGCCAGTAAAAGAAACCAAAGCACATAATGGAGGTAAAAAAGGTATTTAAAACTCTACTCCAGGCACAAAAGTAAATAGAAACCACCCTAGCAGTGGGCTGTCCACACCCCAAGGGTTAAAAGGGGCAGAGAAAAAAGGTGTAATACTTACCTTATTCTTCACTCTAACAGGCTACCTCCCATGCAACTGCTCCCCTAAAGCATCCATTCTAAGGCACTTGGGCCTGAGGTTGCCTGCTTACCTCCTCACATAACAGTCCAGCACTACAAGTGATGACTCCTTGGGACCACGCATAGCACAAGGGAGAGAAAGTGAGCACTGGATTGAAGAATAGAGTAAGCAATGGAGCCCTTTCCTCTACCCCCTTGAGATGAGCATTTAACCCTTGCAGTGCAGGGGGGTCTCACTATAAGGGTTTTTATCCCATCCTGCATTTGGGAGTTTTAAGACACAATACCTGCTGCAGCTGTACAAGGTTATTTTCCTGCATTTATTTAGCAAATTAACATTGGATTTTAAAGGAGTAGTGTACATGAACGCTCAGAGGTTGCTGTGACCACCTTTGCATTGCTTTTCTTCAGACACAGCCTGTCTTATTGAGGTGTGTTTGAAACTACAGGCAAAGCGGGTCAAAAACAGCCCTCTCTTGTCAAATTCTGCTTTTTGTGTTTCAAAGACATGATGAGCAGCACAATGGAAGTGTTGGGCACAGGTTTTCCTACGTTATTGAGAAGAGGGCTTTCAGCACAGGGCCCGCAAGCCAATGGAGATTACTGTAGTAGCGGTGTCTACTACAGTGATTTCAGCTTCTAGAGGGATCCCACAGATGAAACAGCAACAAACTATAGTACCCTATATTTTCTATAGGCTCTGGTATGCGCAGCGATATGTAACATGTATCGCAATCGTCGTTTTCATGTGTAGGCACCCCAGCACGTGCTTTTATATGCTATGGTTCAATTTACATTTTTAAAACAAAAAGTTTTTTGAGACATCTGGGGTCTAAAAGACCCTGGATGTATCCCCTGTGTGCCTCTGAATGTATTGCAGCACAGCTGGCACTGCGGCCTGTGTGGAAGCAATCGGGCAGCAGTGCTGCCGCCCGAATGCTTCCACCTGACAGACAGATGGGCCCTGCTGCTTGCTTGCAGCAGGGTAAAGGCAAAAAAAACAAAACACGGTGTCTAGGTGTCTTATTGACACACAGAACTGGGCTCCGGAGCAAGCACACACCAGTGCCACCATAGCAAGCGACATTCTCTTTAAAAAAAAAAAAAAAAAACCCCACACACATACAACAAACCTGGTATACTTTCCTGCATCCTGAGAGCGGTCTCCTGAAGTCACATTATTTTGCTAGCCTGTACCAAGGATCGCATCATCCAGAAAAAATAACCAGAAAGCAGCCCTGCTCACCCTATAACTAAGCTGTGCATTGCCACTCTGTTTTTTAAGTACTGACATAATGAGATTTTACAAACGTGTGACTTCCGCATCCATTTTATTTAGCTTCATATGCTTTATAGTTAGTAACATGTTACATTCTAAATATTGGTGTAACATGTAACAGGTTACTAAAAAGGTGAACTTATCCTTTAAGCTAGGCACACTGTTCTTACCGTGTATGAGGCAAGGGGATTGGCAATGAGATGCAGAGGAAAGGGTCAAAAGTGTTACTCTGTTTTCTGACAATGGGGGCACGTCAGGGAAGACCTATTGGGAAAAAGAACACAAACAGCCAAAAGCATTACAAAAACACAGACAGATATTTATTCAAGTATTTCTCACAGAGACAAAATGGCAAGAAACAGAAGCAATCATAGGATTTAATATGTTAAATATTCTGACAGTCCCTCTTTTGTGTCCAAATCCCTTGGTCCATCTTTCCACCATAATTTTGTTCTCCAAGTGTGGTGTGTATTAATAAAAGTATAGCCAATACCCCTCAAAGGACTTAATCTTCCTTCTCTTTTACCCCCCAACCCTTTTCTCTCACCTCCTTTATCCACATATGTATATTTTTACATTAGCTCAGCTTGGAATTAACTATTTATACACCATACCTGTGGGATCCCAATAGCTGAAAATCATTTTAGTAGACATCCGCAGTACAGCGAATTCTACTTAATTCTGAGTCCTGTGCTGAGCGGCTGCCCCAGTGCTTTTTAAACACAGGAGGTCGGCCACTGGGCATGAATGCCATTCAGAGAATGCTTTGTATTTTCTCAATGAATGAGTGACTAGATAAGGTGGCAAGTGTGACGCCACCGCCCCAACCTCTCCACCCCCTCCAAATCATAGAGGGCTTTCAGCACAGGGCCCGCAAGCCAATGGAGATTACTGTAGTAGTGGTGTCTACTACAGCGATTTCAGCTTCTAGAGGGATCACACAGATGAAACAGCAACAAACTATATTACCCTATATTTTCTATAGGCTCTGGCGTGCACAGCGATATGTAACATGTATTGCAATCGTTGTTTTCATGTGTAGGCACCCCAGCACGTGCTTTTATATGCTATGGTTCAATTTACATTTTTAAAACAAAAAGTTTTTTTTTTTTCATTAAAATCACATAGGGGACAAAAAGCCCCCTATGCAATGATTTCTGGTGACAGGTTCTCTTTTTTGAGACATCCGGGGTCTAAAATACCCTGGATGTATCCCCTGTGCGCCTCTGAATGTATTGTAGTGCAGCTGGCACTGTGGGCTGTGTGGAAGCAATCGGGCGGCAGTGCTGCCGCCCGAATGCTTCCACCTGACAGACAGATGGGCCCTGCTGCTTGCCCGCAGCAGGGCTAAAGTAAAAAAAAACAAAAAACAAAACTACATGTCCCGGGCAGCGGGCGATATGAATTGCAGTGAATATTACAACAGTAAGCAAAACCTGTGATCATTTTGAAAACTTATCAAGGAAAAACAAAACAATCATATTGCTGGCTGCATTTTTCAAACCGATTTCTAGAAAATTCTAGCAGTACTCTACCTGTACTGAGCCTGAAAGAGTTCCTGAACAAAGGTCCCACTGGTTGGGAATGGAGGACCCTCTCCTGTCAGATCTTCCTCCACTGGTGGCTGCAACACATAAAATAATTTCCTTTAGTCATTATCACAGGAAACCAAACCTTTCCATTCTGAATACCGGCCATGTCCCTCTAAACATATTTAGTATTCTTCCATAAACTACAATGGACTAAATCCTGCCTATCAACTATCTTGTGGCCTAGTGCTGCTGGATTACACACACCTAACTTTGCATAGATCAATTTAATGTATAATCATCATATAAACAAAATTACGACATAAAACTGGCTGTCCCTTGACCTATCGCTGCAGGTCCCCAGCCAAAAGGCTGTTCAGAAATCAATTTAAATTGGAACACAGTTGTAAAAAAATATACCTCATATAAACAAATATTTCTGCACTAGCATTAAAAGTTTTGAAAAAGAAAAAAAAAAAAAAAAAAAGGAGTACTTCTTTACAGCTATACAAAAACAGAATTGAAGAATTGTACCATGCTGGCCAATGATCAACGCAGAAAATTTGGCGTTTAAAGGCTGGAACTACATGCATGGAACATATGCATGTTAATGTGCAACCCATTAGCCCAGTCATTTAAATGTGCTGCCTAAAATACCAAAAAAAAGGTGTAAGCACAATATTTTTTGTAACACAGTGGACCACAATGCACAGCAGTATGTTACTGTGGTGTGCTCAGATGCATTTATGTTGGCAAGGTGCACTACAGTGGATACCACAACACAACAGTCTGAACTCTGATAAAAATGAAAACTGCTGGAACACATCACATGCATTTCTTTATCAAAAGGGTATCACTTGAGCATCAAAAACTTAAAAAAAATAAAAAATAAAAAGCTAAAAACACAACCTTAACCACTTGCCCTCCAGAGGATTTACCCCCCTTCCTGACCAGGCCATTTTTTACTTTACAGCGCTGCATTACTTTAACTGACAATTGCGTGGTCATGTAACGCTGCACCCAAATTAAAATTTATGTCCTCCCCCCCCCCCCCACCCCCCCACACAAATGGCGCTCCCTTTTGGTGGTATTTGATCGCCTGTACGGTGTTTATTTTTTGCGCTATAAACAAAAAAATCCAGTGCAAAAAAAAATATATATATATATTTTCGTCATAAATTTAGGCCAAAATGTATTCTGCTACATGTCTTTGCTAAAAAAAAGTCCCAATAATTGTAAATTAATTGGTTTATGTGCAAGTTATAGCGTCTACAAAATGGCGGTATATATACTGGATTTTTTTTTTATAGGTGATCAGCGACTTATAGTGGGACTGCGACTATAGTGGGAACTAACTGCCACCGACATGCCCGCTGAAACCAATACATTGATCAGTACTAATAAAAAGCACTCACACTGTACGAATGACACTTGGCAGGAAGGGGTTAACATCTGGGGCGATCAAAGGGTTAAATTGTTACTGAATCCTGGACCCTGCATTCACTATATCCGGTCTCCCACAGTACACAAAACATGGAAGTGCAAATATTTTAGTA